GGATGATAAGCGGAAGAGAGTTTGCGTTGAATTTGAAGGGAGAGACACATCTCTTTCCAGAATTTGGAGGTAAATTGTGTCCCCCTATCAGAAATAATTTCTTCAGGAAGACCATGAAGTTTCACAATATTGTCAATAAAGACCTTAGACAATTCTACAGAGGAGGGTAATTTTTTTAAGGAAATGAAATGGGACATTTTTGTGAAGCGATCCACAACGACAAGAATAGTGGTGAAATGTTGAGAAGGTGGAAGATCAACGATAAAATCCATAGAAATGGATTGCCAAGGTTTTTCTGGAATAGGTAAGTTAAGTAGTAATCCAAAAGGTTGATTATGTTCTGGTTTAGACCTTTGACAGATAGGACATGTTTTGACATATAATTCAATGGTTCTATCCTGGCGAGGCCACCAATAATATCGTGAAGTTAGTTCAAGTGTTTTCTTTATTCCAGGATGTCCAGCTAGGGGTGAATCATGAACCATCTTAAGTAATTTATTCCTAAGAATGGGAGGAATATAAATTCTATTTTTAAAATAAAATATACCATCCTTTTTTGTTAGTATAGGTGTTTTGGGAAGTTCAAGATCCTTCTGATTCAAATTCTTTATGTCATCATGAAGAGAAGAGAGGATCCCTATTATTTTGGTCGGAGGATAATCATCAGTAGTAGTTTTAGAAGGAATTCGAGAAAGAGCGTCAGCCTTTTTATTTCTATTTCCAGGTCTGTATATTAATTGGAAGTTAAATCGGTTAAAAAATAGGTTCCATCTAACTTGTCTAGCTGTAAGGGTTTTGTTAGTATAGAGATATTCAAGATTTTTATGGTCAGTATAAACTATTATAGGTTGTTTTGTATCTTCCAGAAGATGACGCCAATTTTCGAAGGCAGCTTTAACACTTAATAATTCTTTTTCACCAATAGGATAATTTTTTTCAGCAGAGCTCAAGGATCTTGAAAAAAAGGCAACTGGATGAAGTGGATCTTGTGGAGTCTTTTGTTGAGAAAGAACTGCTCCGATGGCTGCATCTGATGCATCAACTTCAAGAACATATAAGAATGTTGGATTAGGTAGTTGTAGAATAGGTGCAGTTGTAAATCTTTTTTTAATTCGTCGAAGGCTGTTTGTGCATCTTTATTCCAATTGAAAGGACGTTTACTACTGTTGAGGAGGTTAAGAGGATGTGATACATCCGAATAGTTTCTAATAAATTTTCTATAGAAGTTTGCAAATCCAAGAAAACGTTGTAATTCTTTTGTAGTAGTAGGAGCAGGCCAGTCAATAATACATTTGATTTTGGAATTATCCATCTTCAAAGAATGAGGTGAAATAATGTATCCTAGAAAAGAGAATTCAGTAACCTCAAAAAGGCATTTTTCTGGTTTAGCGTATAATTTATGAGTTCTCAGTCTAGATAGAACCCATCTAACATGCTTCCTATGTTCATCCAAATTGTTAGAATATATTAAGATATCATCTAAGTAGATAATAACACATACATCCAGAAGATCTCTAAAGATATCATTTATAAAATGTTGAAATGTTGCAGGGGCATTACAGAGCCCGAAAGGCATCACTAGATATTCGTAGAGACCATATCTTGTCCGGAAGGCGGTTTTCCATTCATCATCCTGTTTTATTCTTTTTTTTTTTTTGAATTTGACAATTTTTATTTTGTCGAAAAAGGGGTGGGGGTACAGAAAGTAAATAGGGTGGGTTAACATCACATAAGGCATTGCAGTTTGAATACAGTAGTTTGTCAGGGTTTGCACAGTTGTAGTTATCCCTTAGTAACAGCACTTTGTGGTGTGAGGGTGTCTTGTGCATAGTGTCATCTTCTTTTTTAATGGTGTAGTATAGGTTTTCTCGTCATGGGGTCGAGCTGGCTGGGCAGAGCTTAGCATGGCCCTGGTTATTGTGTTACCTATGGTTATGGATGTCTCATCATAGCGTTTATAGGGGATAGGAGGGGAATTGGGATGGGTGTGTATGCCGTGTGGAGTAGTGTGGTGAGGTATCAGTCTGTCATTTGAGTTCAGCCTCCTATCGTGGAGGTGCCGTTTCCAGCTTCAGGGTTGTGTTATATATGATTGTTGTGGTCTAGTTTTGTCCCACAGGTCCCATGCTTCAGTCCAGTAGGGGTGAGACTGTCTCGATTTCCTTGCCATAAGTTCATATAGTTTGGTTGATTCTATTACCTCAATGCATTGGTGGAGTGTTGGGGTGATTTGTTGCTTCCATTTCCTGCTAATGACTGTGAGGGCTGCAATGCAGATGTGGTACAGTAGATACTTCAAGTGCAGGTGTGGCAATTGTGGGAGTGAGAGTAGTAGGAATGTTTCTGGTGTGGGGGTTATCTGCACCGTGGTGCATTTTGTAGCCAGGTTCGCAACTTGTGCCCAGTATCGTTGTAGTAGCGGGCATTGCCACCATATGTGTAATAGGGTGCCTCGGTGCGCTTGACATCTCCAACATGTGTCCGATGTATCGGGGTAGCTATGTTTGAGTTTTGCGGGGACTAGGTACCACCTGTAGAGTAGTTTGCGTGAGAGTTCTAGGTGGGTCGTACAGAGGGTTAGTCGTTTATGAGCTTGGTATATATCTTGCCATTGGTCATTTGAGAGTGTGTATCCGATGTCCTGTTCCCATGCCACTTTAAAGGAAGGTGGATCCGTTAGGGTCTCTATGCGTTCCGAGGCGTATAATGTGGAGATAAGTTTTGTCGCTGGTTTTTCCCTTGTGCAGATCTTCATCAATTTAGTCCAATGGAGGTTTGGAGGATCAGCAGGTTGTGTCGGAGTGTGGATGCGCATCCATGATTGTAGTTGGAGGTAGGAAAAGGCCGCCGTATTAGGTAGCTTGAATTCTGTGCGAAGTTCTGAGAATGATTTGGGGTTATTTCCTTGCATTGTATGCGATATTGTGGTTATGCCGTGCCTTTGCCAGAGTTTATAATTGAAATCTGGGATAAGCTGTCGGAGTGTCTCCAATGGCATCGCCGGGGAGAGTAGGTTTGTCGCGCCTCTTTTTTTCCGGTAGCTGTCCCATATGGACAGGGTTAGTGCTGTAGTGGGGAGCAATTCTGAAGCTTTGGGTCTGTGAGTTTTTGGTAGCCAGGCTAGAGTCTGGATTGGGATCTTCCGGGCTTGCCTTTCCTCCAGTTTTGCCCACGCTGTGGGGACCTGGCTGTGTGTTGCAGCAATGAGTGGAGCAATGTGCGCTGCCCTGTAGTATCCCGCCAATTCGGGCAGGCCCATCCCGCCCTGGGCGTGTGGCTTGTACATTGTGGCTTTGGACACCCTTGGTTTTTTATTGTCCCAGACGAAGTCGTTTATGACGTTTTGTAGTTCCATTAGATACTTTTTGGGGAGTCGGAGTGGGAGTGTACGGAACAGATATTGAATCTTGGGTAGAATCACCATCTTCACCGAGGCTATTCGTCCAGTCCAGGACACATATTTCCCCCTCCAGCTTTGCATTAGGGATTTAGCTTCCTTAAGCAGTTTAGTATAGTTCGCTTTGAGCAGTGTGTTCGTTGTAGGTGTGAAGTTTATTCCTAAAAATTTGATATTGTCTTGTCTCCAGTCGTAGTTAAAATTGGATTTAAGGGTTGTCAGGACAGGGCTCGGGATATTAATCCCCATGGCTAGAGTCTTAGTGATGTTCAACTTGTAATATGAGCAGGCGCTATATCTAGAGAGGATTGCGTGGAAATTGGGCAGGGAGATATGTGGTTGTTCCAGGGTTAGTAAGATATCATCCGCAAATAGGGACAATTTGTACTCCTGGTCCCCAGTTTTAATACCGTGGATATTCGGGTTGTCTCGTATGAGTTGGGTGAGGGGTTCTAGCGCCAGGATGTACAGCAGTGGGGAAAGTGGGCAGCCCTGTCTAGAGCCGTTAGTTATATGGAAGGGTTTTGAGATAAAACCCCCGTTTACCACTCGGGCTGTTGGCTGAGAGTATAGTGCTTTAATGAGTGATATAAATTGTGGGGGAAATTCAAATTTGTGGAGGACAGCCAACAGGAAGGGCCAATGGAGCCTATCAAAGGCTTTTTCAGCATCTAGGGATAGTAGGACGCTGGGCCTCTTTTTTTGCTGTATCACGTATAGTAGGTCCAGGGTTTTTCGCGTGCCGTCCGCTCCTTGTCTGCCCCTCACAAACCCTACTTGGTCTTCTTTAATAAGTGAGGGAATTATGGGAGCTAGCCTGTTTGAGAGGATTTTTGCTATAATTTTCACGTCCGTGTTTAACAGCGAGATGGGGCGCAGATTTTGGCATTTGTTTGGGGGTTTCCCTGGTTTGGGGAGGGTGGCAACATGGGCCATGAGCATTTCTTGTGGCATGGTCCCTGTCTGTAGGATGTGGTGGTATACTCTTTGTAGGTAGCGAACTGTTTGTAATATGAGTTGGGTAGTCCGTCTGGGCCTGGTGATTTTCCAGGTGGTAGGGAGTTTATGGTGTCTATGATTTCTTGCTCGGTGATCTGATGTTGTATAGTGTGTTTTTGTGTTGTCGTTAGAGTGGGGAGTTCCATAGTGTGAAGGAATTCGTCTATTTCTTGTGTGGTAGGTTGGTGTAGGGTGGGATCTGTTTTAAGGTTGTAGAGGGAGTGGTAGTAGTCGGCCATATCGTCATTGATGTCTTGTGGGTTATGAATTTTCTCGCCAGTTTTGGTGATTAGGTGTGGGATTTTGGAGTTGGCCTGCTTTTGTTTGAGTAAGTTGGCCAAGTGTTTCCCTGCTTTGTTACCTTGCGTGTATGTTCGTAGTTTCAGTTTGGTAAGGATGTGGGCCGTTTTCTCAAGAGTTAAGATATTGATTTGTTTAGTGATATTTTGTATGTCGTTTGCATGCGTGTCCGATGGGTTCAGAAAATGTGCAGCCGTGATGTCTCTTAGCTGTCGAAGAAGGTCTATATGTGCCTTGTCCCTTTGGCGTTTGAGGTATGATGCTCGGCTGATCAGCTGACCTCTCAGGACAGTTTTATGGGCCTGCCAGATACTGTAGATGGAGGTCTCCGGGTTATCGTTGGTGTGAAAATAGTCTTGCAGGTTTTCCATCAATTTTGTCGTGAACACTTTGTCCTGAAGGAGTGTTTCGTTGAGGCGCCATGGTGGTTTACCTCTATGTTGGTAGTTGGATCGCAGGGTCAGTGTAATTGGGGCGTGGTCGGACCAGACTATATTGCCTATTGAGCAGTCTTCTATGAGCGGTAGTATCGTGCCTGAAGCGAGGATGTGGTCTATTCTTGAATATGTCTTGTGTACGTGCGAGAAGAATGTGTATTCTCTGTCCGATGGGTGTCTAGTTCGCCAAACATCGTATAGGCTATTTTCGTGTATAAGCTTTGTGAATGCTTTGTTGTTTGGGCCCAGTGTGAGGTGCCTTGTTGATGTTGCAGGGGTTGTTGTGTCTGTTCGCGAGTCCATAGTATGGTTATAGTCTCCGCAGATAATCTTGGGATCATTTGAATCTTCTGGCAGTTTGCTGAGGACCTTATGGAGGAAGTTGCGCTGTTGGTCATTTGGGCTGTATAGGCATACTAGAATGAGTGGGTCGTTGTTAATTATACATTGAAGAATAAGGTATCTACCTTGGCTGTCCGTTTTGACTCGCAGAGTCTCCACTGTTAATGAGTTATGTAACAGTATGGAGACCCCTCTGGATTTAGAAGTGTGCGTGGCATGGTACTGTGTGGGGTAGTCTCTAGTTGCGAAGGTGGGTATTCGGTTAGTGACAAAGTGCGTTTCTTGAATGCAGACTATGTCTGCCTTCGTGCTTTTGATATCGTCCAGTAGCACTCGCCGTTTGTGAGGCGTGTTGAGCCCCTTTGTGTTGTGTGAGTAGATGATCATGGTTATTATGGAGTGTTGCGTAAGTTCAAGTATTGTATGCGGTGGTGGTTTGCTTAGGATGGGAGGTGCGTGTAGCTGCCGTGTCGTGTAGGTGCAGGGGGGAGGTAGGGAAGGCTGGGAGGACGGGGTTCTGTCGGTGGTTAGGGTGGATTATATACAAAGACCGTGCGGTCTGGTACGTTAGTCGTACCGTGGGGCTGCGGAGCTTTAGCTTCCAAATACGTGGCTGGTTGGGCTCCTGTCTATGATATAAACAACTATTTGGTAGAGCTGAAACCTTGGTTATAGCGTGGATCAACAATAAAACTTTCAACACAACTTAAAACTTTGTTATTGGATAGGCATGCAGGTATCATTACGATAATCGATGCTGTCTGTTTTGACCGCTGCTGCTGTAATTATGCAAGAACATTGTTTTTACCCTCCCTTTTTAACCACATTCTTAATTGCGCAGTGTGGCGCGTATTTGGGCTTGGGCTGTGTTAGGTTTCCCCGGTGCCCTTGTGCGCATCGAAGCGTGCTTATCTAGTAGTGCTAGACATTGGGCAGTGGGATAGATTGTCCCGTTGGGCTCATGCTTTAGTGACAGCGCCCTATGCGAAGGTGTGTCCTATAATGGCACTTCATTTAATAAATTCTATGCATTGCGCAGCATGTGCATCTAAGGGCTACCCAATCTGGTTTACAGTTGAGTGGGCTATTAAAGGGAGTGCAGACAGCGGTTAGGATTATACCCTCTTGTAGCATGGGTACATACACCTTGCATATTAATCAAGAAAACATTTGAGCAGATATAGCATTAATGTGATACTTGCGCTAGCATGCCATTCAGTTCCGTTCTTTCATTTTAGTTCATATTTGTGCTATGGCCTGGTCTTTGGGGCTTGGGTCGTGCCTCTGTCGGTGGTGTTGTCGTTAAGTCCCATGCCTCCAGGGCCGCCAATCCGTCCTCTGGAGATAGAAGGAGGTGCGATTTCCCGTTTCTGGTGAGGATTATCTTCGTGGGGAATCCCCACCTGTAACGGATTCCATGGTGGCGGAGTGCGGTTGTGACCACGTTGAAATCTCGTCTGCGTCGGAGGGTAGCTGGCGACAGGTCCGCCATGATGCGTACTGTTGGGAAGTCTTCATGCGGGTTTGCTTTGTTACGATGGGATCTGAGGACCAACTCTTTCACATGATAGTAGTGGGCCCTAAGTAGGACATCGCGTGGGATGGAATCTGGTAGGTGTCTCGGTTTCGCTACTCGGTGGACCCTATCGACAAGCAGCATGTCTGCGGGAATGTCCGGGCCATAGGCGCGTAAGAGGCCTCTCACATAGGCCTGCAGGTCCTCAGGTAGGACCGTTTCGGGGACGCCTCTGAGTCTTAGGTTGTTTCTGCGCGCTCTGTCTTCATGGTCCGCCATGCGCGCTTCCATGCTTTCCATTTGTTGTTGTAGGGATTGTAAGCACCCTGAAGTCGTCGTTTGCGCGGTCTCGAGGGTCTGGCAGCGTTGTTCCACTGCGGATGTTCTGGCCGATAGATCTCTGACCTCGCGTTTGAGTTGGTCGGCAGTTGTTTGCCATGTGGTAATTAATTTTGTCGCCATTGCCTCCATAGCACGTTCGAAGTAGCTTCGTGTTAGGCAGTCTGTGGGCTGAGGCTCTTCAGACATTGCCGGCAATGAGCTGGATTCCAGCTCGTCCACGGTCTCTTGGTCTGTCGCCCGTGCTGTCTCCGCTGTTAGGGAGGATTTTTGTCCAAAAAAGTTCATTTTTTCGGCTTTTGCAGCCATTTTCTTAGCTTTGGATGAGGCCATGGTTTGCTTGGGTGTTAGGGTGGTTTCAGCTCGCGTTAAAAGTGGAGTTGGTGGAGCCCATGTGCCGGAGCAGATTTCTAAGCGGCCATCTTGCTCGGCGGTTAGCCACGCCCCCCATCCTGTTTTATTCTAATGAGGTTATATGCGCCTCGAAGGTCGAGTTTAGTGAATATAGTTGCAGTTCTTAACCTTTCAATTAATTCATTTATTAGTGGAAGAGGATAACGATTTTTAATAGTTATTTTATTTAAGGCTCTGTAATCTATAATAGGACGGATGGTTTGGTCTTTATTCTTCACAAAGAAAATACTAGAAGCAGCAGGAGAGGTCGAGGGTCTGATGAACCCTTTGCGTAAATTTTCATTAAGATATTCTTTTAAAATTTCTAACTCCTTTTCAGAGAGTGGATAAATATGACCATAAGGAATAGGAGCTCCGGGTATGAGATCTATTGGGCAATCATATACCCGATGAGGAGGAAGTGTTTCCGCTTCTTTTTTACAAAAGACATCTGCAAAATCGGAGTAGAATGGAGGTATAACTGGTTCTACAGTAGTTTGGAGAATAGGAATGTGTTGTAAGCACGTTTTTTTACAGAAATCAGAAGCAAAGGAGATGGAGAAGGGAGACCACTTAATTAAAGGATCATGGTTTTTTAACCAATTAATTCCTAGAATGACGGGATAAAGTGGAGATTTAATAATATCAAATGTAATGAATTCGAAATGTACGTTGTTGGTAATCATTCTTAGAGGGATTGTTTCATCTTTGATGGGTCCTGAGGATATAAATGAACCGTCAATAACTCTGATTGGAATAAAGTTGGTTTTTTGAACACAAGGAATTTTATTTTTTGAAACAAAAGAAAAATCAAGAAAAGTTCCATTAGCACCAGAATCAATGATGGCCTCAGTCACGATTCTTTTTGTATCCCACTGTAATATGAGAGATATAGAAAAATAAGTAGATGCTTTTCTTTTTTGAAAAACGTTCAATATAGAGGTAGATGAATGAAGCTTACCACCTTTTGAATGTTTCAGTAGAGGACATTCGGAAATTAGATGTTCGTTCGAAGCACAATACATACATAAGTTTAGTTGTCTCCTTCTTATTCTTTCTTCAGAAGTAAGAGGACTTTTTATTATACCTACTTCCATAGGTTTTAAAGCTATTAGTAGTTTGCAAGAATTCAAAAACTCTCTGTACTTTGTTCTATCTCCATAAAATTTTTCTGGATTACAGACAGCAGGATCACCAGCCGAAATCAACTCTCAAGTTTCTGCCCTAACCAATAGAGTGGATACGATTGCTCAAGGGTTACAGGAACTGCAAATTACAAATGAGAGAATATTAACCTATGTTAGAGACATTCAAGGTCATCTTCCTCATGCCGCTCTTCAATCGGCTGGATTATTCTGTAATATTTATTTTGTAATATTTCTTTAATTGGAACTCAACTGCAGCATTTCCTGGTTGCAACAACAATAAGTTTCACCTCCTTTTATATTGATATGAAACAATGGTCACTGTACCTTTAAATACCCATGAAGGTAAAATTAGGCTTTGTAGCAATCCCTTATGAATAAGAGGAATAATTAGACAAAGTGACACTTTAGTGAGTTTTAGATACTGTGTAATATAAATAATAGGAATTGACTTGTTTGGTAAAAGTATTACTTAACTTAAAGGCAGTTCTGGCACTGGAAGGGTTAATTCACCCAATGAAGGAGAAATTAGAAGTCCGTTTCAACAAGCTGAGAACTAGGAGTGGAGAGTGGGGAAGTCCGTTTTAACAAGCCGAGGTCTGGGAGTGGAGAAGGTAGAATTCAGAGTTACAAGCCGAGGTCTAGGAGTGGAGAAGGTAGAAATCCGTTTACAAGCCGAGGTCGAGAAGTGGAGAAGGTAGAAATCCGTTTACTAGCCGAGGTCGAGAAGTGGAGAAGGTAGAAATCCGTTTTACTAGCCGAGGTATAGAAGTGGAGCAGGTAGGATCAAAGTAGTAGAGCATCTTCATGCAGCACCTGTGCGAATAATCCAGCCCTTTGAATCTGGCGCGGTCCTCCTAAGTATCGTGGAGGGACCGCGTCAGAAAAAAGGGCGGGGCTGAGCGCCGTGAACCCGGAAGTGGGTTCCGGCGATGAATTACATGCCATGCTATACCTGACAAATATCTTATATGTGTAACTATGTAAAATCTGATATCTATAAACAGAGGAACAACGTACGAGAATACAGTATTGTGACAGATCCATCTGTATAGACTAAGATTGCCGGTTCGTCTGTTTTGCCTCTTTTCGTGGAATTACCTGTCCGTATGCTCCTGTTCGTTTATTTGATGTTTTTACCGAATGAACTAAACGAATGGACGGCCACCCAGAAGAGAAGTGTGCTGCTGGTTAACCTCTTGATCCCAATTAGAACGTTGTGGTTAACCGCAGACACCTCTCAATTATAACCGAATACAGGGTGGTCGTCGTTCGTATGTCGACCACGAGGCGGCGGCCATTTTAAACCATGCGAAGGACCAGCAGTGTTTGGCACAGATTCTATGGAAC